TTTTATCTTTGAGTAATGGATTATTGGATATCCAACATGACATCTTTTTATCTTTCTCTGTTCATATTATTTGTATTAATCTACTTTTACATGATAAGATGAAAGGACATTCTGCATCTGAATTTCTAATGGGCTCCTAAATACATTCATTTTTGCATGCTCAAATATATATTCAGCATAAAGAAAGACCAGTGATTCAAAAAAAATATTACCTGTATTTCCATGTTACTGGAATCTATTGGCAATATCTAAATAATCTGTATTGTGATGACCTGACTCACAATGTAGAAATATGAGAGAGACAGAATTTATGGATTTTTCCTTTAAAACATCAATTCTGAATAATGACAAATTAAATTGATTTTCTTGCTCAAAGACCACATTACCTTCTGTGTTTATTTTCTTTTTAAAAACTAATCTCAACTATAATAAATCCACACATAATAAGATTGTCTTAAAGAGAAACTTAATTAAATCAGAAGGGAAAGGAAATCTGTCTTTCTAGAATGAGAGCATATATATTCCATAATACATTTCCTTCTAGATCAGTGGTCTGTGAAGCCTTGTTCCTGATTCAGGGTTATCTACTGAGTGTCCTGTGAACTAATGCCGTGCGGTGGTAATGTTTATATTATAACAACATCAGCATTTAGTCTCTGGCATAAACTAGTAATCCATTTCTGGCTCTCATCAAAAGTAACTTTACATTTCCTGTTAATTTCAGTGACATTTATCTGACAGTGGAAATTGGGAGAAGATGGTAAGCAAGGTAGTTGGTGTCAGGGACTTCAGAAACTCTGTACCCATTAAGCAATAACTCTCCAGTCCTCCCTCCCTTCAGCCCTTGGTAACCTCTAATCCACTTTCTGTCTCTGTGAATTTGCCTGTTTTAGATATCTCATATAAGTGGAATCATACAATATTTTCCTTTGTGTGTTTGGCTTATTTCACTTAGTATAATGTTTTCAAGTTTCATCTGTGTTGTAGCGTGTATCAGAATTTCATTCATTGTCCCTGCACTAACACCTGTGCCAGTCTCCCTCTATTTCGTACGTGGGATGCTGCCACAGCATGGCTTGAGAGTGGTGTGTAGGTCCATGCCTGGGATCTGAAGTTGAGAAACTTGAGAACCCCAGGCCGCAGAAGCAGAGCACATGAACTTAACCACTGTGCCACCAGGCTGGCCTCAGAATTTAATTCCTTTTTATGGCTGAGTAATATTCCATTGCATGGATTTACTAGATTTTGTTTATCCATTCATCTGTCAATGGACGCTGGGGTTGTTTCCACCTTTTGCCTATTTTGAGTAACGCTGCAATGAACATTGGCATATAAGCATCTACTTGAGTTCCCGTTTTCAATTCTTTTCTGACATATACTTAGGAACAGAATTGTTGGGTCATATGCTAATTCTATGTTTGGCTTTTGGAGAAACTATTAAACTGTTTTCCACAATGACTGCAACATTTTAAATTTCCACTAGCAATGTAGAAGTGTCCAATTTCTCTGCATCCTTGCTGACACTTGTTATTTTCTGTTGTTTATTTATTTATTCATTCATTCATTTATTAAGAGACATCCTAATAAGTTTGAAGTGGTATCTCATTGCAGGTTTTTTTTTTTGAGGAAGATTAGCCCTGAGCTAACATCTGCTGCCAATCCTCCTCTTTTTGCTGAGGAAGACTGGACCTGAGCTAACATCTGTGCCCGTCTTCCTCTACTTTATATGTGGGACACCTACCACAGCATGGCTTGCCAAGTGGTGCTGTGTCTGCACCCAGGATCCAAACCTGCAAACCCCAGGCCGCCGAAGTGGAATGCGTACATTTAACTGCTGCACCACCAGGCCGGCCCCTCTCATGCAGTTTTGATTTGCATTTCCCTGTTGACTAATGATGTTGAGCATCTTTTCATGTGCTTATTGGCCATTTGTATATCCTCTTTGGAGAAATGTCCATTCAAGTCCTTTGCCCATTTTTAAATTGGGTTGTTTATCTTTTTGCCGTTGAGTTGTAGGAGTTCAATATATATTCTGGATATTAAACCCTTATCAGATACATGATTTCCAAATATTTTCACTCATTCCATAGGTGGTCTTTTTACTCTCTTGATAGTGTCCTTTTATGCACAAAAGTTTTTAATTTTAATGAAGTGTAGTTTATCTTTTTTTGTTGTTGCCTGTACTTTTGGTGTCATATATAAGAAACCATTTCCAAATCTAAAATCATGAAGATTTACCCCTATGTTTTCTTCTTCTATGAGTTTTGTAGATTTGGCTCTTAAATTTAGGTCTTTGATATATTTTGAGTTAGTTTTTGTATATGGTATAAAGGGTTTCATGGATTTCTTAAAAACCAATAAAGAGCAGATTTTTAAAATGTTTTTTAAAAAGAGAACACTTGCGCACTGTTGGTGGGAATGTAAATTGATACATCGCCTGTGGAAAACAGTATGGTAGTTCCTGAAAAAATTGAAAATAGAACTACCATATGATCCAGCGATCCCACTTCTGGAAATATATTTGAAGGTAATGAAATCACTATCTCGAAGAGATATCTGCACTCCCATGTTCATTGTAGCATTATTCACACTAGCCAAGACGTGGAAACAACCGGTGTCCATCAGTGGATAAGTGGTTTAAGAAAATGTGGCATATCTATACATATAATGGAATATTATGCAGCCACAAAAAGTGATATCCTGCCTTTTGTGATTACATGGATGGATCTTGAGGGCATTATGTTAAGTAAAATAAGTCAGACAAAAAAAGACAAATACTGTATGTTCTTTCTTATATGTGGAATCTAAAAAAGCCAAACTCACAGAAACAGAGAGTAGAATAGTGGTTGCCAGCAACTGGTAGTTGGGGAAAATGGGGAGATGTTGGTCAAAGCATACAAACTTCCAGTTAGAAGATGAATAAGTTCTGGGAATCTAATGTATAGCATGGTGACTATAGTTAACAATGTATAGTTATAGTTAGCTGTACTATATAACTGAAAGTTGCTATGAGAATAAGTCTTAAATGTTCTCACCACACAAAAAACAAATGGTAACTATGTGAGGTGATGGAGGTGTTAACTGCCCTTGTTGTGGTAATCATTTCACAATATGTACATGTTTCAAATGATCACATTTACACCTTAAGCTTACACTATGTTATATGCCAATTATATCTCAATAAGGGTGGAAAAAAACCTTTTTGAGAATCATTGCCATAACCAGATAAATACCTCCAAAGTGTATAACTTAAAAAAATATCTAATTGATTTATAGATTCCATCTACATACAAGCTGTCAAGCTGAGATGCTTTGAGGAGATCCTACTCCCCAGCTCCTGAATATCATCCTCTGTCTTGTCAGGAAACCAACCATTAGGCACATTTTTTTTTCATTAAAATATTGACAAGGCTTGGTAGAGAAAAACTTAAAAAATATATTACCATAGAGTTATTAAAACAAATTAAGTCATTTTCAGAGAGTCACTCTAAAAAATTTTTTGTCTATCTTTTAGAGTACCGATTGATATGCTCAGAAATTATCAATGTTCATATGGGGAGGGGAAACTAGATCTTGTACCCCAGATCTCTAGCCACCCCAACTCATTTAACCTTCTTCTCGATAAAACCACTGTCATGACCATCCTGATTTTGAATATCTGCTTCACAGTCTCAGAAGCAAAGTTGAGGCAGGGTTGAATGTTTCACAGAAAGTTTCCTACACAGTGGTTCTTGATTCTGGCTGCACATTGGAATCACTTGGAATGTTAAAAAAACACAAAAACGCACACACATATATGTATATATTGATTAAATATGTATCTCCTACATACTGATCATATATATGTATATTGATTATATATATACACACTGATCACACACACATACATATACACAAACAGTGTATATTCAGAGATCACACATATACTGATTTTATATTTATACATAACATGTACATATATGTACTTGTTATAGATAGGTAGACAGATAGATAGATAGATGTTGAATGTATCATGCATGAGCCCAACCCTCAGAGATTCTGAGTAACTTCATTTGGGTGGGGCTCAGATGAGAGAGAGTTTTGAAAGTTCCCCAGGTGATTCTAATGTACAGCCAGGGTTGAGACCCGTTGTGCCAGATAAAATACAACAAACGGGAAACAAATACTAAGAGAACTGTGAAGCCAGATATGTGGTTTCTAAAGCATGGCCTGCTCTTTGGAACTTGCAGACCCCCTCTAAGTTTAGTTTCCTCTAATCCTTTCTTCAGGTGGCAATAATCCTTCTAGCATATATGATGAAGGAGCCCATGCCTAGAAACCCTCCCTTTTTAAGGCCTGGGCCAGGAGAGCTAAATTCACCTCCAAACTTCCCCTTTCTTGCCTGAGGACCTGTATTTTCCCTAATGATTAACATTGGAATGTATACCTGCTTCAGAGGAGAACTAACCAGACCTATTACCCATCACAGAAAAAATTATATCTGTAGCTTTGCATCTTCCCTGTTCTATCTCTGCTTAGCAGCAAGTACTAAACGCCTTCAACCTACATGCTCAAGCCAGCACTATTCCTGAATCAAAGCTAATCAAGCTTGGTGATATATTTGCAAGCCCATGCTCACCAATGGATAAGGCTTAGAGTGAATCTTACTGACATCAGTTTACTACTGTTCTTTACCTACCCATCAAGATGCCCTGAATGCCAACATCAGCTCAAGTATGGCTTTTTGTGAACTGGGATTCAGCTGGTGGGCATCTTCTCCAGAGTTCCAGTCCTGGAGCCTGGAACTGTTTAGTTCTCACAATCCTGGCCTAATATATTCATGACTGGATGACCTCCCCACCCCTTTCACTGCTTGCCCAAGGTAGAGGTCCCAGGACACCACCCCTCTGAACCTGCCTGGACCATTTCAGCTCTCCACTATTGGTCCGAATTATTTCATGAGACATCTTAGTAAGGTGTTTGACTTTCTGTTCCATTAACAAACAATAAAAAAAACCTACCCAAGACTGTATCCAGAACATGAATGAGTCTCTTTGCACTTATTAGAGAAGGGCAACTTCTGGAAACAACTGGATTCCTCTGATTTGGCAGGTGGCGTCTCCATGGTACTGATGTAAGGGTGGTAGGATGGTATTGTACAGTAAGTTGGTGAATACTGGGCATGTCGATTGTGCATGTTACACCTGCAACTGTTTGGGAGAAACATAAACCATGAGAAACACTGTTGTTCATGGTAGGGGTCTGGAACCAACTGACAGTGGGCATCCAGGGACAGTAAAGGGAAATAAGATCTTCCTGAAAGGGAAGTATAAGTCAGCATCGAACTTGCCTATCTTCTGTTTCCAATCGACAGTAGGAAACTCATGCTGGGGTGTGTGTCGCAGAGGAAATCCTTGAGAATCATATTTGCTCTGAAAGACAAACCTGAGTGGGAAGAGGGAGTTGATTACATTTTCTGTGCTTTTGGTGAGACTCACTGTGAGGACTTGGTCAAGGTCTCCTGCAATTGTTTTTGTTTGCATGACTCACAGGAGAAAAGTTATGCAGATAACACATATACGTCATTGCATGAGGACTATGTTAACAAATACACCGTAAGTAGGTGCGTGCTTCCCAATCATAGCTGTGACTTTCCATGGCTGAGTTCACTCAGACACACCTCTTTCTTTTATAATGAAGAGCATTCTGTAGACAGACAACGAAAACCCCACATGTTAAGGCTGAGCACTGTTATCACATAAAAGACCTTAAGATGCACATTCTGTCAGAATGAATGGGAGAAACTGAACCACTGTGAGTGACTTGGTGAGGTGGCTACCCTTGCCCTGTGGGAACTGGTGAGGCAGCTGAAGGAAGCTGATGCTCTAACTCTGGAGTTGAGCCTGAAGTCATCGTAGGTAAAACAGACCATGAGGAAGGAAAGATGGATGTGAGCAAGAGCAAGGACAATCTGAAATCTGAGGATGAACTGAAACCTGTGTCCATCTCTCACGAACTCCAACCTTGGCATTCTGATGTCCTACAGGGGAAGCTGGTGCCCTTTGCCACAGAGGTGCATTGCTCAGACAACTCTCAGAGGGGCTGAAGGAAGACCTTTGGTGGGACCTGGAGGTGCTGTGAGCCAGTGCTGCCCCATGCAGATCAGTGACAACGTACATGAGTTGCCACAATATCCGGCACCCTGCACTGACCTTTAGGGGGTAAAAAAATAGAGCTGCTGCCTCACTTCTGCCTTCCGAATTTCACACAAAATGTCTCTTGTGGCAAATGCTAGCCTGGAATTATAGAGGGAAAGGAATGCTGGGAAATGTAGTTCTAGCTTTGCTGAGTCAACAAAATCAACAAGATACCACAATGCAGTTTCCTAGAGAGCTCAGAATATTTGCACTTCTGACTCTTTCTCTCCCACACCACTTGTATCGGATTATCCACCAGTTCTGTTCTTTCAGAGTTGCTCCTATTCCCTCATTTCTCCCACTATTGTAGGTCATGTTGGGACTATTGCCCTGGCTTTGGTCTTTCCTCTCTTTAATTCATGTCCTGTGACTAAGCACCCAACCTGTACCCCACTTTCAATGACTGCTCCTTGTCATGTTCTGCATTGCTGGAATCCCTGCTTTGTTAACCTGCTTTACCGCTTGGAACCACAAAGATGGGAGGGCATGATTTTACTAGACTTCCCAGGGACTTGTATGTTGTCTCCAAACACAGCTCCTACCTGCATTTCCTCTCCCTAAGAGAAGACTATACACCCCTGTCTTGTTGAACTCAGACATGGCTTTGTGACTTTCTTTGACCAACAAAATGGTGGAGGGAGGAGAGTTGTCAAGTAGGGTACCCTGTGCTGTTTACCAATCCCAGGGGAGCAGAGCACCATGCACCTGTTATCAGTCCCAGGGGAGGACTCTAAGCCCTTCTGCTCACTGCATCTTGGTATGGGAGTTGCCAAGGAAAACACAATGAAATTAAACACCGGATGGAACAATGCTTTACTTACATAGAGAAGCGACAGAGTAAGATCAGCTTCAATAGTGGGCACTGGTCCACCATGGCCAGCAGGTCTCTCTCGCAACCAATGCAGGGCAGTTCACCTAGGTGTACCCCTCTTGTGCCACAGTGCAAGGAACTCTGTCTCCTCCCCTTGGAGGACAGAGATAGCAATGGAGTTGGTCAGGTGCCACGTGAAGCACACACTTTAAGCAGAACAAAAGGACAGCATTGAGCCTGAAACAAAGAAAGATATTTCCACACAAGCTGATAAGCCTAGCATAGGTTGTGTGGGCTCTTTGTCTCTTGGTAAGAAAGTATTCCAGGCCCCAGACCCATTCTTATGTGGCCCAATGGGGGTTGAAAGACTGCACACACGAGACTTCCTTTCCCAGCAGTGGTGATGTTTGATGTCGGCATTTGTGAGCAGGAGATTCAAGAGCCAGCAAGAGGTTCATCATGTTCTCTGTTATCTTTGCCACACCACCAGCAATGTGCTGGATAGAGGCTGCTCCATCAGTCTGGGTCACAGAGTGAAGACAATGTGCAGCAGAGTACAGCTGACCCACAATGGACATGAAATGTGCAAGACATAAACGTTTGTCAATTAATCCACTGAGATTGGGGAACGGGCGTATTCAACAGTTATGCCTATAATGGACAGAACTTGGTGAAGGATTAATTGTGAGGTAGAGAGAGGTGTCAAGGGTGACTTCCAAGTTATGGCTCTTATAAAAGGATAGATGTTGGAGCAATGATCACAGGTATCTGCACAGAGCTTTGATAATCAATAGTGTTGAACTCTGCTGAAAGCCATAGAATTGTAGAAGCAGATGAGCCAGGAGCTATGAGTAAACATTTGCATGAGCCACACCAAGGAGACCTGAGAACCTGGAAACTCCACACACCCAATGAAATGGCAGTGGACCAACTGCGGAAGTGGGAGGAGGGTAAAACCGGCAGCAAAGCTCAATCCTGGGTAGGAGTGGTATAAGGTGCCTGTGTCGGTCCAAACAGACCATTAGGGTATAACATAGGCTATCTGTCCTGTGGCCAGCTGAGCCTGGCAATACCAGCTTGGGTTGAGGCAAAACTGTCCCAGGCTGCAGCTAGGGACACAGTTAGCAGATGAGAAGGGCTGTGGGGCTGAGGTTCAAAGACAACATACAAGTCCCTGGGAAGTCTAGTAAAATCACTATCCCCCTATCTTTGTGGTTCTGAGTGGCTAAGCAGGTTAGCAAAGCAGGGATTCAGGCAATGAGGAACATGACACCTTCCCTTTCTCTTCCACGTGAAGCTTGAGTGGTGATTTTAGAGTGTAAAGGATCACATCATTCGCTGCTTAAAATACATAAATGGATTCCCTTTATTCTAAGGTTAAACACAACCTCCCAGCCTGGCCTGCAAGATCTTTTGTGATCTGGCCTTTGCCTTCCTGTCCAGTCCCTTCTTGTACTATGTTCCCCTCATGCTTTCAACTACAGCCGTAGTGAAGTTTGTGCATTCCTTCAAATTCACCATATTCCCAAAGGGCCTCTGAATGTGATATCTCTGTGCCTGAGATGGTCTTCTTTTTCTGTTCATCTGGTCAGAGCCTACTCAACCTTTAGCTTTGACTTCAATTTTTATTTCCCTAAGGAATCTTCTCTGATTGCTCTGATTAAATCAAGTTCCTTTATTATGTGCTCCCATGGTACAACATATCTCATGTTCATGGCCCGTATCAAAGCGGCACTTTTAATTTATTAGTGGTTATTTAACTAATATCTGTCTCCCCACAATACTGTATGTTCTAGGGCAATTGTCAGCAAATTTTTTGATTAGGGGTCAAATAGTAAATATTTAAGACTTTGTAGGCCAGAAGGAATGTGTTGCAACTACTCAACCCTGCTTTTGTAATGCAAAAGCAGCCATAGGCAGATGTAAGCAAATGAGTGCAGCTGTGGTTCAATAAAACTTTATTTACAAAAATAGTTAGTGGACTGTATCTCATCCATAGCCCTGACGTTTGCCAACCTCTAATCTAGGACATTAGACGTTGTCCGTTTTGCTTACCGTTGTATCCTCAGTCTCTAGCACATTGCTTTGTACACAGTGGGTACCAATAAATAGCTGCTGAATGAATGAAGGAAATCCATACAAACAGACTTTAGCCCTTCTGTCTTCCCCATATTTATTCAAACCATATTTATATCCTAACACGAATAGCTTTTCCCCAATCCAAATTGGATTTCACTTCTCAAGACTCTTTTTGTTTACCACTTTTTTCATAAAGCTGTCTGTGATCACTTGAGTTTCTAGTGTTGGGGTTCTGAACTCTGATAGAAGTCATTTTCTGTACCAGTAACTTGACTGAATACATTTATAATAAGACTTTACAGTTTGACAAGCACTTTCCCAGAGTTTGGCACTTTGGGCCAAACTGCTTTGAGTCCTGCTTGGGTCTGGGTAGTGAGGGAGGGAAAAAATAGTGAGAACCAAGCACAAACAATAAGCCGACAAATTCTTCTGCTGCATATATGTCAACAAGAATGCCCTATGCTGCTACTAGTGCTGGGGTAAGATGTGGGCCCACAATGCAGAGGTCAAAGTAGGCATCACTGAGGAGATGATGTCCAAGGTAACTTAAAAAAAAATCTAAGGCCTACCCCAGTGGCCTAGTGATTAAGTTTGTGAACTCTGCTTCAGCAGCCTGGCTTTGGTTCCTGGGCACGGACCTACACCACTTGTACGTCAGTGGCCATACTGTGGTGTCAGCTCACATATAAAAAGAGGAGGATTGGTTCATATAAAAAGAGTGGATGTTAGCTCAGGGTGAATCTTCCTCAGCAGAAAAATAAATAAAAAATAATCCACAAATTACTTAACATTTGGTTTAGGAATTTACTTTGGTTCCCTCCACCCCCTAACTTTTCATTATGGAAAATTTCAAACATAAAGGAAGGTTGAAAAAAATAATTCAATGAACATATGAATACCTACCACTTAATCGTTAACATTTTGCTATAGTTGCTTTATTTTCTCTATTTTTTCTGATCCATTTGGAAGTTACAGACAGCAAGCACTCCATCTTAAATAATTCATGTGCATCTCTTAAAAGAAGGCACATTCTCCTACATAACTATATACCATTAGCAATATTTCCTTACTATCATCTAATATCTAGACCATATTCAAATTCCCCCACCTGTATTTTAAAGAT